TGAAGACTTTAGCCTGAAATCAAAACAAAGCAGAATTTCTTCCAAACGGTTTACGGTATGACCCAGAAACCTAATGTGAACTTATACCATGCTACGAAGATATTATAAATTTTGTTACGTCATATTGACGTCACCAGGGATCAAATTACAAGCGATTTTAGGGCAAATTTTGACAAAAAAGTTTGCGCGATATCTTTTGAACTAAATAGAGTATCGTGTTTGTTTTTGCGTGAGGTTGTAGACTATGCCGTAAGAAACATTTCGTGTCCCCGGACACAAAACCCCATGACCTTCCCTTCCGGTGTTACTGGAAGTGCAATAAAAACCGAACATAACTCAAAAGCGGAAGCATTTTACTACACACATTAAATTAGGAACGTGTTAAGTGAGGAATGTCAGACAAATAAAACAGTGTGATGACGTCATCTTTCGAAAGGGCGCCCCCTAGCGGCACATAAAATAGTGTGAGCTTTCTTTAATTTGAAAACCATTTGTTCAAATTTTACCAAATAGCCCCTTGATATTCTTTGATTAACCACATATAACTTGGCAAGGTTTCAAATTCATGACGTCATCAGACCGGAAGTAACTTCTATGAGAATTTGAAAACGATCATATTTGAGTGGTCGGGCACAACCCGACCACTGTCTAGAATTGTTCTCATAAATCTTCTTTGTTGAGTGGTCGGGCACAACCCGACCACTCTTTGGATTTGTTGCGATTAATCTTTCTTTCTTTCTTTCTTTTTTTTTTTTTTCTTCTGCATAGCACGTTTCCGCGGGTTTTCTCCTAAACGGTATATGATATGAACTTGAAACTTTAAACATATATTGACCCTCAGTCGGAGTGGTGCATATTACACTGACGTCATAATGACGTCATCGGGTATCAAATTACAAGCGATTTCCGTTGAAAAAATTACGATCTTCTTTCATCTATAACTCTTCAACAAAATGATCAATTATGCTCCAATCTTGTAAACAGATAGACCATAAATTGATAAACATTTGTTGTCGTGTACGTGAACTCACTTGACTTTTACTTCCGGGTCTACCGGAAGGTCAAAGTTAGGTGAATTCAAAATGAAGACATTAGCCTGAAATCAAAACAAAGCACAATTTCTTCCAAACGGTTTACGGTATGATCATAAAACCTTGTGTGAACTGGTACCATGTTACGAAGATGTAATAACTGCTGTTACGTCATCATGACGTCATCTGGTATCAAATTACAAGCGATTTGATTGCACGATTTGACAAAATACTTTGACCTATATCTCTTGAACTAAATAGAGTATCGTGTTCGTTTTTTTCGTGAGGTTGTAGACGGTGCCTTGATCAACATTTCTTATTCCCGGGCACAAAACTGCTTGACCTTTACCTCCGGTGTTACCGGAAGTGCAATAGAAACTGAATCTAACTCTAAAACGGAAGCATTTTACTACAGACAAATACATTATGGAAGTGTTAAGTGAGGAATGCCAATCACAAAAACATTATTTTGACGTCATCCACGAAAGGGCGCCCTCCAGCGGCACATAGAAAACAGTTTAATCTTTTAAAATGTAAAATCCCTCAATCAAATTTTATGATATATTGCCCCTATATATCCCGTGAGCAACCGCAAATGAATTTGCAAGGTTTCATAATCATGACGTCATCAGACCGGAAGTTACTGTAGGGAGAATTCAACAATAACCATTATTATTTTTAATTTAAATCCATCATTTGATCCCTGTCTCATGACTATGTTTTTTGCCCCCCCCCCCCACATGGCATCTGTTACACTTAATATTGACCTTTTGATTCCAAATACTGTGACATCATTAAACTGGAAGTTAGCTGTTATTATTACATACACTTAATTTCCATATTTTCATGCGTTATTTTTACTTAATGATAAACAAGTGTCCTCCCTTCCCTGTTTGACTGATGACGCCATCAAACCGGAAATAACTTGTACGTGTACCCAACTGTTTACTAAAATTTATCACACCTTAAAAGACGCATTCTTTTTGTACAAAATAATTGGTACTGGAAATGTTGAAGTTCTTGGTCCTTTTTTTCTGACATAAACATATTCATAACTTAATTGGACAATGTCTAATGAAATGGTTGTCTACCCGACCACTCTGCGTTTGTAACAACAAACGCGAACCTCTAGTCTTTATTTTTTTTTTCCGTACGGCACGTTTCCGCGGGTTTTCTCCTAAACGGTATATGGTATGAACTTGTAACTTTCAACATATATCGGCCCTCATCCCTAGTGGTGCATATTACTCTGACGTCATGATGACGTCATCGTACGTTAACTCGCTTGACCTTTACTTCTGGGTCTACCGGAAGGTCAAAGTTAGGTCAAGTCAAAACGAAGACTTTAGCCTGAAATCAAAACAAAGCAACAATTCTTCCAAACGGTTTACGGTATGATCATAAAACCTAGTGTGAACTTGTACCATGTAACGAAGATGTTGTAAATTTTGTTACGTCATGATGACGTCATCAGGTATCAAATTACAAGCGATTTAAGGGCAACTTTTGACAAAATAGTTTGCGTTATATCTTTTCAACTAAATAGAGTATCGTGTTTGTTTTTTCGTGAGGTTGTAGACTATGCCGTGAGAAACATTTCGTGTTCCCGGACACAAAACCGCATGACCTTTCACTTCCGTTGTTACCGGAAGTGCAATAAAAACCGAACATAACTCAAAAGCGGAAGCATTTTACTACACACATTAAATTAGGAAAGTGTTTAGTGAGGAATGTCAGACAAATAAAACAGTGTGATGACGTCATCTTTCGAAAGGGCGCCCCCCTAGCGGCACATAAGATAGTGTGAGCTTTCTTTAATTTGAAAACCATCCATTCAAGTTTTACCAAATCGCCCCTTGATATTCTTTGATTAACCACATATAACTTGGCAAGGTTTCAAATTCATGACGTCATCAGACCGGAAGTTACTTCTATGAGAATTTTAAAACGATCATATTTTAAATGTAATTCTATCAATTGATCCATGTCGATCTTAGCCCAAAAAAGATATCCATTACAATGTTCACCTTTGCTTCCAAATACTGTGTCGTCATCAAACCGGAAGGTGGTTGTTATGAATACATACGTTATTTTACTTTACAATGAACATCTCTTTCCGTTTTTGAATAATGACGTCATCAACCAAGAAATAGCTTGCATACATGTGTACATAGAATGCTTACTAAAATTGATCACACCGTTAAAGATGTATTTTTTTACTTGCAGATAAAAATAATTGATTTTACTGGAAATGATCTGATTTCGAAATCCTTTGTTCTTAGATAAAAATATTCATAACTTAAAGGAAATATGCAGTGGAAATTCAGCTCATCTTGTTTTCATGCACATTACTATGTGTTGCAACAATACGTACAAGATCTTAATACTTGTTTTCATTGGAAGTGACAAGAAAGTGGTAGTTTTTCAATTATTAGTAAATCCTTTCATCAATATATAAGAGGGCGCTATTTTGCTTTTGTCACACAAGGTACTCCTTGCCAAAGGTGCGTTATGAACAGTACACAAATTAGTCCTTCAAAATTACCCACAAAACTTTTTTTGGAAGAAATATTTGCCACTACGATTGTCCAAATAAGCTGTTTTACATGATAAACAATAAAAAGTGGAATTTACTCCAAGAAAATAAAGAAAACTTTGACATATATTTGGATACACAAAGCTATGGAGACACTACGGTTCTGCCTTGAATGACATCACGCTTTGGCTCATGAATATGGACATTTTCATTAGCATAAAAGCTGAAATGTTGAAATTTCTTTCTTTTACTGCTACAAAGGAGGTGGAAACTTCATAGTTACATTGCACATGGCAAGAAAGCTGTTTTAAATGTATTTAAGTCATATAAATCCTATTACATGTTCCCGTTAACTGGACAGTGTTTCATAAAATAGTTGTCTACCCGACCACTCTGCGTTTGTAACAACAAACGCGAAACTCTAGTTTTGATTTCAGGTTCAAGTCTTCATTTTGAATTCACATAACTTTAACCTTCCGGTTGACCCGGAAGAAAGGGTTAAGTGAGTTCACAAACGTACACAAAAAGAAATGTTTATCAATTCATGGTCTATCTGATTACAGAATATAAACATCACTGGTTATTTTGTTCAAGAGTTATGGGTGAAAGTAATTGGACCCTTTTTCATGTAAAATCGCTTGTAATTTGACACCCGATGACGTCATCATGACGTAAGAGTAATATGCACCACTTTGGATGAGGGTCGATGTATACTGAAAGTTACAAGTTAATATCATGAACCTTTTTAGGAGAAAACCCGCAGAGAAGTATTGTCCGGAAAAAAAAAGAACCAAACAAAGAAGATTTGTGAGAACAATTCTAGACAGTGGTCGGGTTGTGCCTGACCACTCAATAAGCGGAAAAGCCCTATGTTTGCCCATATCATTTGTACACGTTTATTGTTACCCTCACTTTGGGCACTGAAATCAATTCGATTGCTTTTATACTTGGCATACACTTTAGACCAGCAGCTGAAGTTGTGTACCGAACATTGACATCATCGTGACGTCATCATGAGTCACGTGACGTCACATTATATGCGATTTTTCTGTTGTGACTATTTTCTAGCAGAATTCGGCTAGATCTCACAGATTGGGCTATATCTCCAGAACTGCATGTCCGTGTAATGGTTGTGTTGATTATATTTCTTGTTCTTCTATAATGACCCCTTTCTCTGGTTGTTTATTCACTACAAACCTTGCATTTACCTTGTTATTTATTCATGTGACTTGAGTGAAGTCACTCAGTGTGACTCGAGACAAGGCTATACAAAGTATTGATTTTCTAGTGGAGCCAAAAATAGTATTGATTTATGGAGCTGTGATTTTGAACTTGTATTTTGTGAATATTTCTTAGTCAAGGATTATGAACATTATGTTTAGATTTAATCTTGATTAAATCTTGTATTTCAAATTATCAATCACTAGGGTTTGGCTTTAGATCACTTTTGTGGATTGTTCACTTGACGTGAACTGCACGTTGTTAATTCACAGCTCCCAAACCATGCGGTCGCGGCAAGGCCTAGGCTAGGCAGTGCCTGCCCGATCTTTACAGGTAAATGTATTGTACTTTTTTAGGTCATTTTTGAATGCAATTATTTCACCAAAAAATCCAGATAATTATTACTTATGTGCCCTTTATTGTATCAGCAAATTATTATAGATTAATATGGTGGTAGTTTGGAGAATGTAATGAAGTTTTTGGAGAGATTTTTGCTGTAAGAGTTAGGGAGCACTGTGACCAAATGCACGAGGGTTAGCACCCATGTTTGCACTGAGGCACACACAGTGTGACCATGTGCAGTGCGCGTGCGTGAGCAGTAATATAGTGGTAGTTTTGGAGAATGTAATGAAGTTTTTGGAGAGATTTTTGCTGTAAGATTTAGGGAGCACTGTGACCAAATGCACGGGGTTAGAAACCCATGTTTGCACTGATGGCACCACAGTGTGACCATGTGCAGTGCGCGTGCGTGAGCAGTACATGTATTGTGATATGTAACTTACAGTAGTTTGTGGTTTAAGAGTGATTTTATGTGGACGTAGCCTATATTGCATTATTGGGCACTTAATTGTCTGGAGACCAGTATATAGAAATGCTTACAACTGTCACTGTCATATAGTTTTGGAAAGTTCATGTAAGTTGGTGATCATGTTGTGCATTTTAGGGACGGATGTGGGTGCTTGCGGTGTGTGATAGTGTGTGCGAGTGTTGGTCAGTCAGTGCGCAGGGCCGGCTGTCTGTTTGTGATTCCATCCTTGGGTGCTCGATGCGGTCACCATACTTGCATATAGGCTTTTCACTCTTGGTAATTAACTCTGGTAATGTGTGTACATCTTTCTAATACATGTACGCTTATTATTTCATAAGTTACACATGTACATTGTTTGTATTTTGAAATGAAACTTATGAGTGCCTGCCCGATCTTTACAGGTGGCCCCACCTGGGCCGATTCAGTTTGAATAAACAATCAGAGCAAGGGAGATCCAGTTTCCGTGTGAGCACTCACTCCAACAAAGAACCTGCGTGCCCCCCTCTTCCTTACTCCAGAACCAGACCAGAGCCCCCTTCCCTGAAGTCCCCGCAAGAGAACTGCCCCTCACATCCGTTTGAATGAACGTTGATATGTACTGAGACTGGGATGTGTTACAGATGAAAATTTAAGAGACGTCACGATGACTCATCACGTGACATGAGACGTCATATTAAAAATTGAATATTTTGAAGGCCAATATCTACAGAATACAGGTCTGATTGTTGAAACTTGGTATGCACCTAAACCGGGATGTGTTATGAATGAAAATTTAAGTGACGTCACGATGACGTCATCACGTGACATATGCCGTCATATTAAAAAAATATTTAAAAAAATTGTTTTAAAACATTTTGTTTTAAACAAAATCATTGGTTGCACTGGAAGGGTTAAATTTTCGTGGTCTTTGTTTGACATAAAATTATTCATACCTTAACTGGGTTGTGTTAATGAATAGTTGTCGGCCCGACCACGCTGCGTTTGTAACTCAACAAACGCCTTGACCTCTTGTCTTTTATTTGTCTTTATCATTTTCTTTAGGGCATATTTTAATTATTGGCAAGAAACGAATATTTTTAAAACGTGAGCCACAGTCCAAATAATAAAAAACTTGTTGCAGACACTATACTTTACCTTGCAAAACTTGCGTTATTGTTTCGTTAAGTTCAAAAATAGATCAATACAAAGAAACACAGTTTCAGTCCAAGGATAATGTAGCCTGGACACGTTAGACTTGATGCAATATTAAAATAATACTTCATATGGGCTTCAGCGAATCCATTCTTCATTAGAGATAAACTTCTTCAATATGAACTTCAACTTTAATTTGTTCCATGTCTCGCTTCCATGTGAAGTTGTGAGATAACTACATGACTTGTATAGGCTTATTCGTCATAAACCTACCTCATGTACTCCAAAGACCTTGACGTACGTCAGCCTGGGAACCAGCGCAGTTCCTCTCAGAGAACTCAATCGCAAAACATTTTCACCTTAATTATATATAAGAATGAGAAAGCAAGAGGAAAATCGCTAAGAGAATACTTGTAAATATGCGTCCTTCATCACCAACAATGGTAGGCGCACAATGTGAAGAGCCTTCTCAAAAAGTACCAAAATAAGGCGAAAATGGTGACGACAAAATAATAATAGCAAAAAGATAATGGGGAGTGGTCGAGCAACACATTTTTTGGTCAACTGACTGCCTCTGGCCTTCAAATTCATTTTGATTAGATAATGACGCCAATTAAACGCCGCCAATGGGCGCAGGAAAATAACTCAACAAAGGCCACTATCTGTATCGCAATGTGGTATGAAAGACTAGTATAAGCTCAAGCACATGAAGGCCAATTTTCCCTTATTTCCAATCGACCTTTATTTAGGCCTACCTTTTTTCTTTACAACAGTTCCCGCTTTTCAACATTATTTGATGCTTTAGTGACACACTAGGTACACATTGATTAATGGAAAGTGTTTTAAAGGCACGTATAGGGTTTACTGCTTTTGTGCACTTGTTTTCGTTTGAAGCAATAGCTTCAAAGTTTAGCTAGTGTGCATCCTGCTGAAAGTTTTGCTTTATATGAATGCAGGAACAAAACATGTCTGGTAACTGGTATCCGTCGCTCACGAACGTTTAAAGTTGCCCGCGGGCACCCTTTCAAAAACATTCGTCAGGTTTAGTTTTCTTCCGAATCATTTCGCAGGGTGTTTGATAACGGTGTTACGCTAATGTAGTAACCAACGGATAACGTATCACCAACCGATAATGTAACATAAATTGACCCATGGTGTGGCAACATTTACTACACCATCGGTCAATGTTTTTTACATTATCGGTTATAGTGCTATAGCATCGGTCAATTTGTGTGAGACATTATCGGTCGGTGATACGCTATGCGTTGGTTACTACATTCTTCTCAGTGGTAACAAACAGTCTGATGTTCGCTTTGAGCAAGGTTTCTGTCATTGATATACTGTCATACGAATACTCACGGCGTTGAAGAGGGCGTTAAGGCACGTGGTGGTTGCGCTGGTGCTCCCTTTACGAACATTTAAGTCTGGATCGGAAATGAATGCCAGCTCCAGATATTTTGTTGCCTTCGTGTCAATCGGCAAGGCTTCTGGCGGCTCGTCAGCAAATGTTAACGGCAAAGTTGGTGGCGCTTAGGAGAACAATTGCAAAACAAACCAGTCGGGCATCAAGCTTGGAATTTGACAAGCTGTCATAAAAACTGACGAGCAGAGTTGTAACGAGTCACTGATTTTTGTGACTCGAGTCGAGTCGAGTCATTTTAAAGAAGTGACTCAAGTCGAGTAGAGTCATTAGATCAACGAGTCGAGTCGAGTCGAGTCACAGTATGTGGTCGAGTCGAGTCGAGTCAAGTATTTAGCTCGAGTCAATTCGAGTCACAAATATTTTAACACTATTTATAAATTACAATAAAAAGCAACAAACACAAGAGAGAAAGAATACAAGGCACCAGTCTATTACGAAAATCCAAAGACATAAAGTATGCTATATGGTACCCAACCAACAGTTGCTAGCTCATGTCACAGATAAGAAGATGTGAAACCTCGGTCTTATAACTGGTTTGGCTTCGGGTCTAGATTTTGTTGTTCGCTGATCCCTGACAACGTCAAAACCTAAATGCATTATACAAAACTGTTTCTGATTATTTAAAGGTTAGCCGTCCGTATCCATTTTGTTTTGTGAAATCGGGAAATAAATTTAGCCAGCGTTCCACCAAGAGCTTAATAAGAAATCGCGCGAAACCAATGATAAAACCACGGATTGAGAAATGCGTTTTAAGTCTGGTTCCGGGTTTAGCATTACATGCTACAGGTATAGAACCACAAGGTGGGAGTCCGCGACACGGTGTATGTTTGTTGTATCACTATGGAGGAAGGAAAACAGACGGCCGCTGTATATGAGCATACATTATTCGCGAACATAATGTGACGTGAACAAAAATTGGCAACGCGAACGGCGCGGCGTAAGTCATCGCAAATATTTTTTGCAAATAAGTTTTGCTTTTATTTTGGGTCTCGAGTCGTATTAGCCTTCCTCGAGTCGAGTTGAGTCATTGTGATGAGGGACTCGAGTCGAGTCGAGTCATTTGCTCCAGTGACTCGAGTCGAGTCGAGTCATTTACCCGTCGGGACTCGAGTCGAGTCGAGTCACCAAAAAATGTGACTCGAGTCGGACTCGAGTCGAGTCATTGACTCGAGTCATTACAACTTTAGTTGAGAATTCCAGTTTTCAGCTTCAGAATGAATGATCTGCGTCAGAAATGTGAGTTCTTTATTGTTTTGACTTACATGCGGAATTTGTTTTAAAAGTGTGATCAATAAAAACAAAATCAAATAAATTATATTACGTTCTGTCTCGCAGAATGCCCCTCTTTCCACTGGTCTGTTCCTATAGGCAACGTGCGGGTGACCGCGACCAACATCTCGCTTGACGGCATGTTCGTCATCTAGTGGCTCGATGTAAAGCTCACCACGGCCATGGTTGCGAAATATGACCGCCATCTTGCAAAAAAAGACACCATTCAGAAAATAAAACAACCGAATAAAAGGCATGCAAACACACACTTTGGTGTCGGCTCCAGACAAGGATTACTTTTGAAATAATTCCTTTCATTATTTATTTGGGAAATATCATAACTTAGTCCAATCAATGATACAATAAACCCTTCTTCAAACATTTTGGTGGCAGCTATGGGATTCACTTAAGCACTAGGCCTATGACTTACCAAGCCGTCACAAACGGTTACGGATGCAAGAGAGTCCTTTTCACCGGCTACCTTCCCTGTGTAGACGCAGTCAGTCCGAAGTGGCACTTTCTGGATGCCTTCATCTGTGTAGATCTCAACCTGGAGTCCAGGGCATAATTACTGTCGTCGTGGTCTACGATAAGGTTAAGCGTCTCTCCAAAGGCTTCGACTTCCAGTTCTAAGAATGAGGCGGCAGTGGCTCCCTTGCCAACACTCCTCTTGCCTTCAGCTTCGACTACGAGTGGGTACACAATCTCATATTCCGGGGCTACAAAGAAAGGAAATTTAATTGTTATCGTCTTCAGTGCTATGACCTTCTTAGGTGACTTCTCTCAACAATACCCCTTTCAAAATTATTGCAACATGTAATGAGCGTGCACAAAGGAATGCATTGTGGTCATGCGTTGTGGAATACTGAGTTTAATAGCCACTATCCCACCAAAGTGGTTGGGACACTTCCTTGGCCTTTCCCCCGCTCCCCCGGTCAATGTTGTTCTCTCCAGCTATTGGAGCACACGCCGCGCAATGAGAGACAACATTGAGCGGGGCAAGGGGGTTGGGGCCCTAAATGGTGATGCTGAAACGAAATAGTTTTGCAAACGACGCAAAGGTTTGCGACAACCTTCAATAGTTTTTCAAATAAACCCAATACATGTATTATACTTCGTATAAGCAAATATTTTTGTGGCAATAATTATATTTTCTATGATTCGAGAGACAATCATGATTTTTTCATATTCGGTTAGGAAAGACGTCACCAAAATAAACGATGTTTTAGCGCGGTTGCCCACATCAATTGTGCCACAATACCTTTTTCGTGGCTTTCAACACCGAAGTAGCGAAAAAGCTCCTCCGTTGCAAATTCAAGATCTTTGTTACGAACCTATACAGCGAAAAAAAAATAAGAAATATGAGTGTTTTTCATGTATATTTAATACACCCAAAACCACACCCTTTTATACTTCTTTGAAAATCATTTATAATTGGGTGGTGTCTTTTACACATTTGTAAATAAATTAAGTAACTCTTAATGAAATTTATGGATGACTGGTCATTCTATTTATAGTGCATCACATCCGCACGGGAGTTGTGAGCTGTACATGGCACTTAAAAAAGAATCACAGGGAACAAAGCAGAAAGCTGAATCCCATTTAGTACGTGGTTACATAATCATGAA